TATCTTCAACGTTTTCTCAGCCCCTATACCCATTCTTCCTTCCTTTACCACCACCTCTATAGGTTCTAAAATACCATCTTCATTTTTACCCAAACCAGCTCCATCCCTGTAACCCATCCTCTGCATCAATTGAAGAATCTTGGGTTCAGGAAATACAACAATTCCAATGGGATTAGGGTTTAGATTTTCAGCAATTGTAATGGGATTAGGGTTTAAATTTGGAGCAATTCCAATGGGATTAGGGTTTAGATTTGGAGCAATTCAAATGGGATTATGGTTTAGATTTGGAGCAATTCCAATGGGATTAGGGTTTAGATTTGGAGCAATTCTAATGGGATTGAACTCAATTCCAGTGGGATTTGGATTTGGATTTTCGGTTATTTCAATGGGATTGAGAGCAATTCCCAATTCATCTTCCAAATATCGAATCTTTTTTGTGGATTTCTGACCTCCTTTTTCCGCCATTTTTTATTGTAAAGCTTCAGAGAGAGAAAGTTTATGTGAGAAATTTTAGAGAGAGTTTTTTGAACTGTTTGAGAGAGAGAGAGTTTTCTAATTTCAAAAAATAAGACGGCTAGTCGCTAATAAGTCCTATAAATAGGGTATCCTTTTTTTTTTAATGAAGGTTAATAGACACATATTAGTATATTACTCTTAATGAAATCATAAAAGGGCAAAATTCAATATAAATGAAGGTTAATAGGAAAAAAAAAATTACTCCCTTTTTCTTATATTGATTTTCTCACTTTGACCAATTTTGTCCACAAAAAGATTTTAAGTAAGGGTCTGTTCTCATACGTTGAAATTCAGTCAATTTAGTTAAGTTCAGTTGAGCTCCTAATTTCCTTCTCTTATAAAATATTCAGTTCAGCTGAGTTCAGTCAATGAGAACACGCCCTAAGAAGACCAATTATATATTATATACAAAGTAGCTTAGTAGGGAGAATTTGGTGAGAGGCATTCTAAAGAAGCATTTTATATTTATAAGGAGCCCCAATATGCCAAAGTTTATTCCAATTTAGGGGAGGGAAAGAAGGGTGAGAGCTAAACTGGGAGCAAAGCGTATAGGTGCTTTTTATCGTGAATTGACCATTAGTTTCAGGAGCCCAACAAATTGAGTCCTCGATAGTGGCTATAGTAGGCAAAGGAACTGACTCGATAAGCTTGCAAATGTGAACAGGGATTATGTGTTTAACTCTTCCTAAGTCCCCACTCCCATTTCTAATGATATCACTTACCCTCCAATGAGCCAATCTATCCGGAATAGGAGTATCGATGACCTTGTAGTAGATGGGCTCCTCACCCACCCAATGATGGTACCAAATGCATATGTCCTCCCCATTGCCCACCCTATAAGCAATTCCCTTCAAGAGAAGGTCCTTACCCTTAAGAATATCTTTTCAAAGAGAAGACTCGGAAGGATTAGGGAAAAAATTATGAAAAGTGGAATTTTTAAAATAACGAGCTTTAAGAATTTTGACCCAAAGTTTATTAGGATCATTAATAATCCTCCAACCCAATTTAGCCATGAAAGCAAGATTCAATTTCTCAACTTACGAATGCCCAATCCCCCCAAACTAATAGGAAGGCAAATCTTCTCCCAACTAGTTCTAGCTAGATAATGAGACCTATCCACCTTATTTCAAAGAAAGCGCCTACAACTCTTTTCAAAATCATCAAGAATAGCATAAGGAATTAAAGTGGTTTGCATGACATAAAATGGATAAGAATTGAGAACCGATTTGATTAACATAGTCCTACTCACCATATTTAGAAGTTTTGCATGCCAACCCTTAATTCTATCTTTCGTTTTAACTTAGTCCGCCTTTTTTTTTAACTTATTAGGGCTAATATTAATCCCTAAATATTTACCAAAGGAAGGAGCTCCTTTGATATTAGAAGCCTCAAGAATAGCTATTTTAAGAGTAAGGCACATTTTAGGAGGGAAAATAACCTTGGACTTAGTCGGACTAATGAAGAGACCCGATTTGTTACCAAAATCCAAAAGGGTATTATTAATGACATTAACATTATCGACCGAGGCTCTACCAAAAAGAAAGACATCATCCGCATAAAATAGGTGAGAAATATTCACTTCATCCTCTTTTTTTATCGGTTTCCAAATTCCTTGCCCTACATTTTGTTCGATCATAAGGGAAAGTCTTTCAAGACAAAGAACAAAAATGTAAGAAGAAAGCGGATCACCTTGTCTAATTCCCCTAGACGAAGTAAAACTCTTCGTGATTTCCCCATTCCAAAGAATAGGGATAGACGGAGTAGTAATGCAACTCAAAATAAGCTTTACAAGCTTATTCGGGAAATTAAGACCCAAAAGAGTTTCTCTAATAAAACCCCACTCCAAACCATCGTAGGCCTTAGAAATGTCAATTTTAAAAGCCATTTATTTCTTTTTACTGGATTTTTTTTAAAAGATGAGCTACCTCTTTTATGACCAAGATATTTTTATCAATAGTTCTCCCTTATATGAAACTAGATTGGACAGTATTAACAAGATCCCCCATCAAGGGCTTAATTTGATTAGAAATGGTTTTAGTAATTAGTTTATAAATTGAATTACATAAATCAATTGGTCTAAAATCACTCATAGAGGAAGGGCAAGGGACTTTAGGAATCAAGGCAATGTAGGACCCATTAACCTCAGGAGGGATACTACCCGACTCAAAGCAAGCAGTAATAAGATTGATAATTGAAGCACCTACGGTATCCCAGTATTTTTTAAAGAACACAGGTTGTATACTGTCAGGTCCCGGAATTTTCATCGATGCCATCAGGGGCGGATCTAGGGGGGTTCATTGAACCCACAGATTTTTTGGAAAAAAATTATAAGTTTTAATTTTTTTTTCTTAAAAAAAAAAGAAAAAGGTTTAAAAGAAATTTTGTGAGAATAATTATCACACGGGTAAGTTTGGTGCATTGGTAATTCTCTGAATAATAGAGCAGCGCGCCCCTTTAATACCTTAGGTCTTAGGTTCGATTCCTACTGCCCTCTTTTTTGTACTTTTTTTTTTTGTTTTGTTTTTTTACTCCTTTCATTCAGATTTCAATATTTCATATTTCAGAAATCAAACATCAGACATTTTTCCCCAAATTCCCAAACACCAAAACCCTAACCTTGACGGCTTGACACGACCCTAGCCAGTAGCCACTAGCCGCCGCGACACCGCACAGCGAGACACCGACCGACGACCACCTCACGTCCACACGGAGTGACGGAGACACGGACGAGTGGACGAGGGACGACTCAGTGACTCACGAGTCACGACTGTTCTAGTGTTCTGTCAGATTTCGAGTTCTTCTAGCTCTACAATTGTGACTTGTGAGTCCTCTTAATCTCTTATTCCTCTACTAGTCTACTCCTATTAATTCTTAATCTTGGTTTGCTTGTTTTATTTTTTAAATTGGTTTATGGTTTTGATATATTGTTGAATTCTTGAATTGTTGAGAAATTGAATTGTAGAAAGTTAGAAGTTAGAAACTTAAAATTATAAATTTTTACTTGTTCTGTTAATTGAAATTTGATAATTAGAAGAAGTTTATATTGTCAAATTTGTGTTTATTGGGGACTTGTGATTTTAATTGATAATTAATTGTGTATTTTGTGTATTATTGTAGATTGTAGAGCTTTTGTTACCATGAGTTTAGAGTCTTTTTGGAAACGTGCCGGGAAGTCACAAAAGTCCTCTACTTGTTCTTCACCTAGTTCAAGGAATCCTCCAATAGAAGAAGATGTTGTAACTCCTATTGATGATGCGGATATTGAGTCTCCTAATGATGATGCGGATGTCGTGTCTCCTAATAATGATGCGGTTCCAATGGCTGCTTCAATTCCAATCCCTGAAAACACAACTCAAATTAATCCAAATGCTAGTGTTGAGTATGATGATACTCGCATTTATGATGTTCATCTTCTTCCACATGATCCTGGAAAAAGAATTCCAATTTTGGAATATCCTGCTACTGACAGAGATGCTGTGAGAAGAGGTTATATTACAATGAAACGTTGTGATCCACGCACTCATAATTTCCCTCGAAGACAAATAGGAGGTATGCGTCGATTTAATGTTGCTTGGTTTGATAAATATGATTGGCTTGAATATAGTGTGGAGAAAGATGCGGCTTTTTGTTTTGCTTTAATCAATATATGATCATCGTTTTTTTTAAGATTTCGAACCCACAGTTCGGAATTCCTAGATACGCCACTAGATGCCACAGCGCCGAGAGCAGTCCTAATTTCCAAATTAAGCATAGCATAATCATCCTCACTCACAGTGGCATTAGAGATAAAATTAACCAGTCTCGCCTGCGCAGATTGTTTAGAAGCAAAAATGTTTCTAAAATAATTTACACACATATTTTTAAGAACCGAATTATCATTCACCCATTCACCATTATCGTCTTTTAAGGTCATAATTTTACCCCTAGAATTTTTAACTTTGGCTAAAATGTGGAAATATTTAGTATTCCAATCTCCATACTAGTGGAAAAAAGGCCATTCGTAACGGGCAAAAAGGGCCCATCGTAACGGGCAGCCTCCGTTATGTATGCGGCCGTTACGGATGGCCATTGTTATTCGTAACGGGCACTGTCCGTTACGAATAACCCATTATTCGTAACGGACATTTGGACATTTGAAATGGCCGTTACGGATAGCCATTTGAAAAGTCCGTTACGAATAAGGCCTTTTTTGTACTAAAATAAGTCCTTATTCGTAATGGGCACCTAAAACGCCCGTTACGAATAACCCATTATTCGTAACGGACACTTCAAATGCCTGTTACGAATAAGGTTTTATAGTATATAATTAAATACTTATTTGTAACAGGCAACCAAAATGCCCGTTACGATTAAGTGCTTATTTGTAACTGACAACTCTCCTACCCGTTACAAATAGTCATTAAATTAAAAAAATTTCTATTAAATTTCGAGAGCATGTATTTATATATAATTAATATATATTAATTAAAACCTATTCCTGTAAATAAACAATTATACCGAACAAACTTTCATAAAAATTAATACGATATAATATAAAAATTTAAGTAGTAAAACACTACAAATAAAAACTTGTATAAATTTATCCAACACATACAACAACACTAATAATATTACTTTGTTTTACCAAAGCTAATAGTTATGCATTCAATAAATATTTAGTTCTAAAGTATTGCACCCACTGTTCTCGAATCACATTCAACTCGTCAACATCATACGAGGCTTTCCTTGGACAAAAATCCTATAGAAAAAAATTTAAAAATGAAAAATAAAAAAGAATGAGGTTACAAAATAAAAACAATCTCTAATAAAAACAATCATTAGAATAAATGTGATGGTCCAAATTATAGAAATAAAAACTCAAAATATAGAAATAAAACACATAAAATCCATAATTAACTTATACTACCTCCGTTACATATTATTTGCAACGATTTGACATAAAGTAGAGAGGAAAAATGACACATAATATGTAACGGATGTAGTATTTTGGTTTCTGTGAATTGAAATCAATGAAATAAGACCATTTACTCACTTGTAAGAGCATATAGAGCCAAAAAGGCTTCAAAATTGCCTAAAAGACTTCTATCTTTCCCATCTCTCATGTAATAGTCCACTTTTACAATAAAACACATAACATCCATAATTAACTTATATTTTGGTTTCTATGAATTGAAATCAATGAAATAGGACCATTTACTCACTTTTGGGAGCATATAGAGCCAAAAAGGCTTCAAAATTGCCTAAAAGACTTCTATCTTTCCCATCTCTCATGTATTAGTCCAATTTATAGCAATAAAACACATAACATCTATAATTAACTTATATCTTGGTTTCAATGAATTGAAATCAATGAAAAGTGACCATTTACTCACTTTTGGGAGCATATAGAGCCAAAAAGGCTTTAAAATTGCCTAAGGGACTTCTATCTTTCCCATCTTTTATGTATTAGTCCAAATTATAGAAATAAAACACATAACATTAATAATTAACTTATATTTTGGTTTGTATAAATTAAAATCAATGAAAAGTGACCATTTACTCACTTTTGGGAGCGTATAGTGCCAAAAAGGCTTCAAAATTGCCTAAGGGACTTCTATTTTTCCCATCTTTCATGTATTAGTCCAAATTATAGAAATAACACATAACATTAATAATTAACTTATATTTTGGTTTCTATGAATTGAAATCAATGAAAAGTGACCATTTACTACTTTTCGGGAGCGTATAGAGCCAAAAAGGCTTCAAAATTGCCTAACGGACTTCTATTTTTCCCATATTTCATGTATTATTCCAAATTATAGAAATAAAACACATAACATTAATAATTAACTTATATTTTGGTTTCTATGAATTGAAATTAATGAAAAGTGACCATTTACTCACTTTTGGGAGCGTATAGAGCCAAAAAGGCTTCAAAATTGCCTAAGGGACTTCTATCTTTCCCATCTTTCATGTATTGGTCCAAATTAACACAATAAAACACATAACATCCTTAATTAACTTATATTATGGTTTCTATGAATTGAAATCAATGAAATATGACCATTTACTCACTTTTGGGAGCATTTAGAGCCAACAATGCTTTAAAATTTGCAAAAAAAGCTACTAACCTCCTCTATGACACCTTTGCACTCCAAGTGAGAAATAACAATCTCATACATGTATCTCATAATGTAGTAGCCACATTCAACGCCTCCTTGTTGTTGAGCACACTAGCATATATAACAAATAGTTAAAAATTTTGTTTTCAAAGTGAACAACGTATAACAATATGGGGTGAGTAGTGTATTTACCTCCATTTGTATGAATTTTAATTCACTCCCTGTGAGATTCGCCGATATACTTTATAAGCCCTACAAAAATTATATATATTCTAAGACTTAGAACAAACTAATCTACAACACCACATACAAAAATGATATAGAACTAGGGCATAAATTCAAGGTTGTGGCTCGTCATCATGATATATAAAGCATAGAACTGATCAACATATAAAGCAATTTGCATAGAACTGATCAGCATATAAAGCATAGAACTGATCAGAACTTCTAATCTGTCCATCCCTATATGAACCACACACAGTGATACCAATGTCACCATAAAGCCATAAACTGCACTATTATAAGAGCTTGTAGTAGCCTTGTACACATACTCCCTCCGTTTTTAAATACTTGCTCCATTTCTCCATGCGCAGAGTTTTAGGAGAAATTGGAGAAAGTAATAAAATATGGAGGTAGTAGGGTAGTTTGAGAAAAAAAAAATTGTAAAAAGCAAAAGTAGTGGAAGAATTGGAGGAGATAGAGTATTATGTTGGGTCCACTAAGTGTGAGAAATGAATTAAAAATTGTAAAAGCTTTCCAAAAAATGAAATAGTGCAAGTATTTAAAAACGGCCGGAAAAGGAAAGTGGAGCAAGTATTTAAAAACGGAGGGATTATCTATTAAGAGTTGTGGGCCTTTAAATACAATTTAAGGGTAGATGCAAAGGTAATTTCAGAAGCAATGAAAAAACTAGGGTTAAGTTTTAAGGAGAAAAAGAGGTGAGACAGAAGATAGATGATAACCTAACAGAATTGCCAAGATTTGGATGCCTTGAACTAACTGACACTTGAAATGCGTTGAGTAATCTTTTGATTGGTCATAACCATAACTTGCCCAATCAACATAACTTCACAAAAGCAAGACTAAATTATAACTAACTTCAATCTCATATTAACATTGATGAGTCTGTCAATCTTTGACAATTTGTAAATTATAACTAACGTAATCTAATTGCTTAAATATAAATACCATGTGTCCAAATACCACTTTCAAAGATGAATAACATGACTATATGTAACTGTACAGTTTATACCAACATAGTGTTCAAATGATCAAGCATTAATTCATTTTACCCACTCGATACATATCAAATCAGCAGTGGGAAAATTAAATATAAAGGGGAAAAAAAAGGTGATTCTAAAACTCCTAAATACAACCTTAATTAACATATATTTCTGAACAAGAAATTGAACCATTCAGTCCACCAAAAATCCTCTTCATCAAGAAAAAGGGTAACACGCATGCAAGGCATCAAGGGAATTGACTTTGGTAACACTTTCCCTATCTTAAGCTTTCTACTGATGTGATAAGCAGAAGCAAGAGGTAGATGGTGCATATAAACCATTATGTAGGTCAAATTCAGCCAAGCCCATTAAACAACTTAGGAAATGAGCAATAAACAGAAAAGGCCTGAAGTGAACTGATCAGAACTGATGTTATTCCATATTCATAAATGGCTTAAAGAAGCAATAAGCTAAGCATGTCATCTTTAATGTGCTGGAAATATTTATTTTTGCAAGATCTAAAATTGCAGGGCAAAAAAGGATGCTACCTGACCAGGTTCCCAAGTCAGATAAAAGTTACCACGGCTCGAAACAGCAACATATCAACCATCTGGGGAGCGATTCACAGTATTGAAGGTACCTGTGTAGTAACTTGCACCACTGATACCACTAGAGATTGTTCTGCAAAAGCAACAAAGCTCTATAAGTGGAATGAAAATTGTATTCTTTTTTGTGCAACAAGCATCTTTCAAGTAAAATCATTTGTTAGTTACTATAATGAGAATGTCCACAGTTTATATACTTTTGACTTAATTACCCATATGTTTTCTCCCTAGTCTTTCCCACTTTATTGTCTCATGGCTACCCAGGTTTTCAATGTAACCAAAGTTAGACAATGGGTCGATTTAAAAAAAAAAATAAGGCATTCATATAAGAGAACAAGGATGCACTTAAAAAGGAAAGCCATACTGCAACACTTTCTATCGCATAACAGGAATAATTGTATATTTTGTATAACAGCAAGCTAAAAGCATGAAATGCACATCATTGCAAGTCAAGCTGCCAGTGAAAGAAGTGACATCAAAAGCTGGCTAACGTCCTAAATCAACTTCTAAATTTCTTCTTAATTTAAAGACTACATATAATCATATGTTCTGTCACAAAGGCCTAAATATAAAGGAACTATAAGTGACAAGGTTTCAGAATAATATACCTGTTAAGAGTAGCTGAAACAGTCTCCTGCACAGCAGCTTTCCAGTTGTAACCCCCATTTGAAGTATTGTAAATTGCTCCCTCGTCAGTTACCATCTCAGCACTGTTTTCTCCTGTGGCCTTTATATAAACCTGAAGAGACAAACTGCACTTTAGTAGCTACACAACTGCAAATTAGAAGAAAATTAAATTGATTAAAACAAAACAATAATCTGTAAGTGGTTATTGAACAAGACAGAATATCTGTCTCAATTTTGTGAACCTAATCATTAAGTAGTCCTCATAAAGCTTTCCTTCAAAATGATAGTCAATAATAACTTCCAAGCAAACAGCCACTGCCCAACTGCTGAGAAGTGAGAATGGCAAATTTGATGTAGGACGATAAAGACATCTGATTCTTGTTTATGACCATAGTTCTAATCATTCAGGAATCAACAACTACAGTTCAAGTGAAATTGTCAACTTGGACCAAAAGAAAGTCTCTCAATAATCACTAGCAACGTATTATTGGCAAGAAGTATTCTGCTGCTGCGACGGGTATAAGAATGCTCAGAATACTGGCTTTTTTCCTTTCTGTTTCAGATTTTTTTCTACTCGGAGTATACACCTTTTCATATAAATCTTATGTTATTTGGTTGCCCATCGTCTCTGAAGTACTACAGAAGTATTATCACCAAATCAATATACAGAGTATAATCAAGAATGGTTACATGTTCATCCACCCAAATAACATGTTAACTACTGCTGTAACCCAAGTGCGGCACATAATATATCCTAGATCTGTATATTACACTGTTAAAATGTCTAAATCTTAAGGAGCATTAAACTTGAAAAAAACAGAGCTGATGTCACTGTATGACGCTCCACTATAAAGACAATAATATGGAGAAAAGTATGCACAACTCGGCATTCTGAATGCTAATGTACAAGAAGTAAAAGAAAAGAGTTTTGTGTTCATGCCAACATATAATCTCATCTGCAGAAAAAATCACATACTGGTCTTGAAAGAATTACAAGCAATCTAAAATAGAGTTATCACTAAGTCATAATCAACAGGGTATTCTGTCAGAAAAATAAACAAATAAACTACAGTTTATTTTGCCAATCAGAAAACAGGAAGTTAAAATAATCTTATCACAGGGATAGAGCTGCCCCTAAAACACAAAAACAATGGCAACTACGGTCACAATGACAAGTAAATCTAACAGATTCATAACAGTAAAATATCAGTGAAAAAAAAGCAAACACCTTTCAAAATGAGAAAACTCTTTAGTTCAGTAAATTCACTGCCCAACTGCTGAGAAGTGAGAATGGCAAATTTGATGCAGGACAATAATCATAGTTTGAGTTTTGTTGGATCTTGTTTATGAACATCTGATTCTCATACAAAATTCATTTTTTCATGCTTGTAAATTTTCTATTTTGTGTAAAGATTATCGATTCAACAATTGAAATTCTTAATTTTTCCCAAACAAATGACTTGGATTTGAATTCCAGCAATTGAAATTAAATATTTGAAATGAAATAAGGGTATCCAAACACAACCTAAATGGAAATGCAAACTACAACAAATTTCCATAAAATAAAAAAACAACAAAAAAAATTGGCAGAAAATTAAACAAAAAAAAAATACATATTTGAATTGGCAGAAAATTAAAAAAAAAAATCAATAGAAAGAACCTCTCAATGCAATGTACTAATTAAACAAAAAAAAAAAAAAAAAAAAAAAAGCTACAAAAAAAATAATCATACCAAATTTGAAACCCTAAATTAACTAAAAATCGAAATGGCAAAATTGGTGAAATGTATGGATTTGCATACCTGAGCACCGCTGGATTTACGAACCCTAGCAATAATCGGATTGCCCTTGATTTTTGAACCCTAGCAACCGACTTTGCTTCAACGGATCTTCGCTTCAATGGAGAGAGAAGGGAGTTGCGCTTCAAGTGAGAACGGAGCTGCGCTTCAATGGAGAATTTGCGAGGGAGAAGGGAATTGCGAGGGTTAAGGGAATTTGCGAGGACCACTGGAGTTTGGTAGTGAAAGAGGGAGTCGCGACGGAGCTGAGCTTCAATATTGGAGAGAGAAAGGGGAAATATTTAGACAGAGAGAGTGAGAAAGGGGAATTTAAAAATTATGGCTTACTTTTGAAACTTATTCGTAACAGACACTCTTTGTTAGTTACAAATAATTGGGTCAAAAATCAGTTGACTTTTCTATTTGTAACGGGCAAAAATTGTTGGTTACGATTAGTTGGTTATTCGTAACGGGCAGTATAATGCCCGTTACAAATAACAACTTATACGTAACGGGCACTAATCCACTCGTTACAAATATGTCTTTTTTGTAACGGACATTGATTTTGCCCGTTACAAATGATGTAATTGTAACAGGAAATCATTTGCCAGTTACAAATAGCATGTTACAAATAAGATTTTTTTTCCACTAGTGAATATTTACGTCAATCGACCCCCGTTTTTTGAGCCCAATTGATTCTTTCAATCTTGAGAAGGTGATTAGGTTGAGTTAATAATTCCTTTTCAAGATTGATGAGGAATCAGGAATACCTAAGACAAAGGGATTTTTGGATTCCCTCAATCCTAGCAATTAACCTTTTTTTATTGTTTAGACTTTCATTAAAAACCCTAGTATTCCAGATTTTAACATCTCTAATGAAATAATCTTTAGCCCTAATAAAATCATTGTTACCTTTGTTCCAAGATTGATTAAATTTTTTTTTAAAATCATTATTATGAGTCCATGCTTCTTTACACCGAAAAAGAAAATTACTATGCTCAACTGCCACATTTGAATCAACCAAAATTGGACAATGATCGGAGTAGGTATGAGGAAGATGGAATAATACCTGAGTGTTAGGAAAATCCTCCAACCATTTCGCATTAGCCAACGCTCTATCAAGTCGTTCTCTAATTAAATCCAGACCATCTAAACCATTGTTCCAAGTAAAATTAGGGCCATTGAAATTAAGGTCAATAAGCCCTGCTGCATCCATGTATTGAGAAAAGTCCTGCCCTTGATTATTGGCAAAAGGTGACCACCGACTTTCTTGACTGATCAACTATTTCGTTTATGTCACCTATGTACCATCAACCAAGGAATATTTTGAGGGGGAATATCCCCTCTGAGACTCTCCCAAAGATTCGATTTGTCTCTAGCTGCAGAAGGGGCGTGCACACCAGTTAAGAGCACTTCATTCTCAGCGGGAGAGAATTTGACAAGGGCATGGAAAACGTGGGGAGGTTCAGTAACAAACCCAACCATACAAGCAGGCTTCTTCCACATAATCCAAATACCTCCCTTTAACCCATCAACCGGAATTGCTTTGAAGTCCTCATAGCCCAATCTTTTATAAACTCCATTAGCACACTCATTAGTCGCCTTTGTTTCGAGTAGAATTAAAACTTGCGGCTTATGCGAATTCACCACCTCACGAGCGTGAGGAATGAAATCCCTACAAAAATAAAATTGCTTACATCTGATGCTTTGAGGGATGATTAGGCTAATTTGGGATGGTTTTGGAGTGCCTCGAGGTGGTTTGGACACCACCTTCTCAACGTCGTCACCGCCGCCGCATCAAACCACCACCATCAAAGTCGTCGTTGCAAGATCTGATTTCGGTGCATGGGTGGTTTGGGCTTCAGGGGTGGTTTTATAGTTGTTCGGGGGTGCTTGTGGGTGGTTCTTGGGTGGTCGACCTGAGAAGGGGGTGGTTTTGGGCTGAGAGGTGGTGGTTTTAGGGTTGTTCCGGTGCGTGTGGGTGGTTGCCGGGTAGTTCAGGCTGTGAGGTGGGTGGTTGGTGTTGGGCAATGGTTGTTGTGTGGCTGTTGTTGGTGGTGTTGATCAATTTATTAGTTACCTTCACTTTCACTCTCCTGCCATTAATTTAGGCTGCTTCAAGGGCATGTTCTCATAAGATGAAATTCAATTCAGTTCAGTTCAGCTCAACTCCTAATTTCCTTGTCTTATAAAATATGTTCAGCTCAGTTCAGTTTAGTTCAATTGAGTTCAGTCAATGAAAACATGCTCTAATTCACTTTTCTACCATTATGAAATTTTGTCTTAAATTCCATGTCAAGCCCAAAGATGCAACTAACCTGAAACGGATATGAGCTCGGTATTTAAGCATCGTTTCTTTATAAAAATTTAATGATAATAATTAAATACAATGAATGCTTATTTTTTATATAAAATAAAATACAAGTTTTTCCCAATTACATTATTATTGATATGATATTAACCCCGACCCTAATTTCTCTGCCTTCCAGCACTGTGCTCGGAGCCTCAGATATCATATCACATTTACAGCTCATATACCTTCACAACAACGTACCGAAGATGAGATGAACAATTGAACACTTGAATTTAAGAGAAACTCATAAGCTACTGAAATCTCTCATTTGATGCTAGCTCAAAACCAACAATATATAACCAGCCAAATACGAACTTATTTATAAGGTTAATTTTTAAATTACCACCCAAAAATGTAACAATTTTCGAACTAACCACCTGTTTAATTTTTTTTATTTTAAATTACCGTCCCTTAAATTAAATAAATGCTCAGATTACCACCCAATTCAAAAATTCTGTGGATTTTCCGTCTATAGGCCCCACCTAACACTTATTTTGTCCCATTTGACTGATTTTTTCCCCGAATTTTTTCTTTAAAAACACTCTCTAAACTTTAATTCACATTTCCTTCACCAAATTCTACCAAATTTCAAAGAGAAAAATATGAATTGAAGTTAGGAGAGCGTTTTTAAAGAGAAAAACCGAGGGAAAAAAACAGTCAAAAGGGTCAAAATAAGCGTTAGGTCGGGCCCACAGACGGAAAATCTATCAAATTTTTAAAATTGTGGTAATCTGGGCATTTATTTAATTTAAGAAGTGGTAATTTAAAATAAAAAATTAAACGGGTGGTTAGTTTGAAAAGTTACATTATTGGGTAGTAATTTAAAAAATTTCATATTCATAAAAATGAAAACAATTATTATAAAATAATCAAAATGAATAATCTCTAAACCTTAATGTCTTATTAAAGGAGAATATTTGAAATCACGACAAAATCATATGCAGTACTACATACTATAATATTCAACTTATTGTTGTCAAACTAATAAATGTTATCTAAAGGATACTATACATAATCTTAACTGGGGATTGCTTTGTAGCAGCAACAATGTAAACATTGAAAACCCCTATGCCCTATCATGAAAAAAACTAATACTATTTGACAAAATTGCCGTTAATTTCCCACAAACAAAGCAGAATGATGGTACAGCGAACATTCTCACTTCAATCTTGAACACAGTTTCGCAATGGAGAGTCGAAGAGTTTATCTCAGTTGAAAAATGGAAATAAAATAGGATGAAATAGCTACTAAAGACTGAAATCAAAGATTGAGTTGGGGAGAGTGTGTTCAGAGTAAATGAAAGAGTCAAAAAGCTGACCAATATTATATCCAGGGCAAAAACGGATCTACACTGTAGATTACAAAAACTAACATTACTTGTGGGTTTTGAACATCTATCAAAAAATCACATGAGGCCATTTCTCAAAGACTTATGTTGAGGTCGTAATCATTTTCTATTAACTTTATATACGAGCAGATACATTATTAGCTAATTTAGGGGTCAGCAAAATGAATTGCATTTTAAACCTCTTAAGTCTTAAATCATAATCACATATGAGATGAAAATAAATTAAGGTTTGTGTTTAACTGAGTTCAATCAATCAGAACAGGCCCTACATATACGTAAGGTATTTATCAAATTATCATATTTCAAACACTTTCAAAATATTTTTACAAGATCTATAAAAACTCGTATATTTTATCTATCCTCCAATAAACGGGTTTGGGGATGGTTTTTGGCACAAAGCCTTGGCCTGAAATGGGTCACTTTTTTTTGCCAAACCCGACCCATCCCGTGATAAACTCTACTTACCCATGGATGTACTCATGTACCCAAGTTTCCATACCACCTACTTTCCTTGCCATCACCATCCTTAGCCATTCCCACCCTACAAGTCTACAACCAACGAATCAAGCCCCTGAAGCCAACCCAAAGCAATCAAGAGTTTTTCTTTTTTTTTAGAGCAACTACAATGGTTGGCTAATTCATATAATAGCTTGTTATGTCAAATCATCTTTGTAAGCTACAACAATTCTAGCTATTTGTTGCTCCAATGGTTAAGCTAGTTATAAATTAATTTATTTTTAAATTTAAAATATTTTTTATCTAATAAATATCTACCAAGCTAATTAGCTCTACAAAGCTAATTTGCTTGCCAAAGCTAATCAGCAAGATGTGCAACAATGGTATAGCTATTAGTTTAAGAGTTTTAATATTTGCAAGCTAGTCCCTTTTTTCAACCATTGGAGTTGCTCTTAGCACCTATCAAAAACAAAACACGTGGCTCTATTAACTAGTATATTAAAAACAATTAAAACAAGTTATGGGTCATTTTGAAAGGGTCTCCCCTAAAATTAAAACCGCCTTGAGTTAATTGGTAGTTAAAACCTTTTAAAGAGGAGAAGTCATAATTATAACAAATGACATCAATTTTCCAATGAAATTTGGTGGCTCAAATAATGTGGTAGCCTTGGTGTTTTCAGGTGTGGGCAGTTGTAGACATGGTGGTGTTGGGGTAGGAAATGTACAATGCTTCGATATTTTTGGCAGAGATACGTCGTATTCACTATTCACTGGCTAAAACTCTAAAAAGGTTTGGATCAGTAGTGGTCACGAATCTCACGATCCCTTTTCTTTGAAATATTACTCTTGCACTCCATGTACATACCAAGTTAAGCACAACTTGTTCCTGTGATGAGCGTGAGCAACCAAGCAAAAAGAAATACAAAACAGCTACTGCAGGAAGTTCAGTTAAATTTCCAGTGATTTTCACTATGAGATGATACATGTTAGCTCTCAACATACCTAGTAGTTTTACAAAGCATCCAATGAAAAGTGCCAATCAACAAGTTCAGTTCAAAGTTGTTCCTAAAACTTACATCGGAGGGGTAAAGCCTAACTACGTCACAAAATTACCAGAGAACAGCCCGGAGCTTCATGGAGCTGTAATGGGTCAAAAACTCAAAATATTAATCTTTTACTAATTTTGGGAGAATAATTA